AACACTACTGCTCCCTGCCCCCTCAGGGGGCAGTGCTACTTACAGTGCAGCTCTGCCCCAGCAGCTGGTGAGGAAAGGCATGAAGATGGGCTACAAGCTCCCACCCCCAATCCCACTCTGGGCAGAGCGCTACAGAAGTGGAACTACAAAACAGCTGCAGAAGTAGCAAGTAACAGAACTGTCCCTTTTTCACTTTTTCTAAGAACAAAACCCCTTTTCTTTATTCTGAAGACACCCCCCACCCCCTCATGTACACAATTTACCTCTCCCAGTATTTGATGAAAACCAGTAATTCAGACATGAAATACTAGTCAACACACACACTGGGGGGAGGGGGGGGAGGGAGGGGAACAAACAAAAAACCACACAACCACAGCAAGAAACAAATTTTCTATCATCCTAAAATAAAAGACATCTAGGTACACACGATCAATCCCTCTAAGAAGTTGATTTCCCCACACATCGTAAGCAGCTTCACATACTTAAAAGTGCTCCATGCCAAAAACGCAGGTGAAAAAATACCTGTGGGCCAGAGTAATATCCCCCAATTAGTTATCTCCTTTGAATACCTATGTTGCTGTCACTGTAGAATCACCTTTCTCTGCTGCTTCCTTCTGCTGCAATTAGTAGGTGGTGGTTGTGACCCATGTCAAAAGACATTTTGATTTTTGTGACCTTTCTTACAATTAAGTTTTAATTTAAAAAACAAAACCATCACTCACACTGATGGTTCTCTTCCTCAGCTTTGTTCAAAGCCTTATAAAAGTCCATTATTACCATTCCATGAGAAACACAACCTTTTTGTTTGCCTCACAGAACACGTGATGCTGAGCTATTACGATTAATTTTGATGGCAAGAAACTGTGTTAGGACTGCACAAGACCACTAGGGTCAGTACTTCACTTTAAGGAACCACCTCTTAGGATTTAAAAATAGCCCAGTCTCCCATGACTGCAGTACCAGAACTACAAAAAAAGTTGTGGGGGGAACCGCATAGACCTTCAGGGCCAAATGGAACGCGGGTATGAATAGCTACACTGTTCACTTTTCACATAGTTGCACCTGCCAATATGGCAGTAAGGAATTCCCCGTCTTTCAATAAATGCTTAATTAAAAAATGGGAAAAAAACCCAAACCCTTGAAAACTCTCGCATGCAAAAAACACACCCCTGAGGTCAGTTACTGTATCATAAGCATACCTGGCAAGAGTAGGTGAAGTGGTCTTACAAGCGGAATTCCTTCGGTAGGCTCCATCCAGCGCAGGCACGCTCCTTCAGTTTTTGCTTCAAGTTCCTGTCCCAGCATACAGCTTTATTTTATCGTCGGTCCCCTTCAGTCTCACAGGAGCATATTTAAAATGTGAGCATCCACGTACTTACATTCTCTCCATTATCAGTGCCAGCAGACAGCAGACACATCTAAGTCAGCCAACAAGATCCCTACCTCAAAGAATTCACAGAATTACAGAACACACATTACAGCAAATGGGCTGTGCTCCTCTGGAACGGATGGTGACTTTCTTAGTGAAATCCCAACTGCCAGTTATCCATGCAAGGAGAAGAGTCCTCTTCGTGTAGGTAAGCTCAGCAGACAAAAACATTTTCAGAGGTAGAGGTAAAGCAGCAGAGGTACAAGATGTTGCTCCGTAGCACCAGGGACAAAGAAATAGCAGTATTATCCCCCTAATGCAGAGACGGGAGCCTTCTCCTTACCACTGGCAAAATAAACCTTTCAGAAGTCACGAGCGGGCTACAGAGCACCACACATCTGAGCTACCCAAATACCAAAGCAAAACAACAGAAAAAAATTTACATGGCTTTCAACTCTACAAAATGAAGTCACAGCAGTACCAAGCAAGTATCAGCAAAGGCTCCACACAGCCAATCTAAGTGCTGCATAAAGCACCCAAAAAAAGAAGGGTCCAGCAATCTGATATTCGGTCTTCTTGAGCAGTCTCACTAACCTTGATTCCAAAGTCTGGCTTACTTAAAAAATACTCTATGCTATCACGTCACAGAAACGCCCTTCAGCTGCAGCCCTTTGTTCTCCAATAGCAGTCACCACAAGGCTTTGCTGTTCACATGGAGGATCAATAGTAGTGAAATACTGCTGTCTCTCTTACGTCAAGCATTTTAGCTGGAAGCTGATGGAATTTTTAGCGGTTGGTCTGCTGGTCTCTTGAACTTTACATCATGCTTTCATGAAAAATGAAATCCTTTGAGTGGAAGACAGTCAATATCTCTCATCAAAACCAATACATGTAGATCTCCAAAGACAGAACAACCGATTAATAAAGCACCGAATAAAGAGGAAACAGACAACGGTAAACAGAAAATTAACAATTGGCAGCTTTTCCACATGCCAGGTGGTCGGCACATACATTCTCTTCAGCAATCAACAGACAGCCCCCCAAAAAAACAGAAGATGTTTTATTGTCTAAAGTGTTGCAATACAACAAATACGTGATCTGTACAAAGGACACAATAGAGCAAGTTTAAATACAATCAGGAGAAAGAAGTCCCCATATTCACAGTCTTCAGACAATATCTTATACCAGAACCCGAACCAACAATTTAAAGATTCACTAAAAAAACCCAAACAAGTTGTTAAAAAATTTAAAGGTCTCCAAAGAGTCTATGGGCGTATTGTCTTACAGCAGAGATCATGGGGTATTCTCTGAAGGGTCACAATGGCATCTTATTGCCCTCAATGCTGATTTTCACTGCATGGGCCGATCTGCTTTTTTTCCTGATATCTGTGAATTTCCGCATCTGTTTGTCCAGTCGACTCACCCCTTTCTTAGAGGTCCCCTGGAACTTAAAAAATAAAACTAATAATTACCACTGAAAAAAAGCAGACGTCCCAGAGGTTCAAGAAAAGCGATGCATGCAAGGTTAAACCTGCAAGAGGGAGCTGATGAAGCCACTGGGGGTGGGTGTGGGTGGGGTGGGTGTGTGTGTGCAGGTGTGCACGCATTCTCTCCCCGCAAAGTGGATAAAACGGCTCCCCCAATATATGCATCACATATATGGAGGTAGTCACACTCACAAACATCACACAGTAAAGCTTTCACATTACAAGGATTAATAACCATGTTAGTTGTTCACATGCTGGCTGAATATACAGTTTGGAATAGTTTTCTATCTATATTGGCTGGAGTTTAGTGTCAGAAATACACTGCACTACAGTGCCATACGTACAGCCTTCCTGTGGGGGCAAGATCTTTAGATACAAATACACAGTAACTGAGGTGGATTGAGTTGACACATCAATTCCAAACCGCAATTTATTTTAAAGGTCACTGATTAGTACTTAGAAAGCAAGAGATTATTGGGAAAAAGGCGGTGTAGGGGGAAGCAAGAGAAATGCCTAAGCTGATCATACCAGCTGTTAGAAGAGTTATTGCATTTCATCTCTGTATTTTAACTGCAAATGAAAAACCGAGATGATGCAGCAGTTATTTTGCACAGATTAAATACAGTGATTCTTTAAAGAAACGCCACCAAAGACAAACAGCAAGGACCTTCCAATCCATAGCCGTGGCTTCCTAGAAAGCAATTTCCCCTAACTAGACTACAGAAACAGTAAATCATGGAAACTTCACACCTTTTAAGTTTGGGAGAAACAGAGATATCCAGAACATGCTACTTAGTATCTGACAAAACAACATCTATTAGAAACAGAACCTCTTGTTCCCATCACTGAGGAAGGCGCTCCTGACACACTGACTTTAAATAAACTTTATTCCTAAAACTGTTTGCTACTCATTGAAATTATATCTGGAATTTCACAGTGATTTTTAAAAAAATATTTTTTTTTAAACAAATAAATATGAAGCTTAAACTCAACAGTTACCTACCATTTGTGTTAGCCTCTTCCTGTCACTATTAGTTTATGGCAGCCCTGCTCACAGAACTGAAACGCAGACTAGAAATTGTCAAAACAATTCCCACACTGATGCACGTCTTTGATTGATCTCCCTCCACCCCGCATTCACAGCAGGGGATTCTTCTCCCCCTGGTCTGCAGAGGTCTCATTGTCTGCCTCCTGTCAACCGCCCCTGAAGTCTCACATCACTCAACTTCCTTGAAGGAGTAGGTGGGAAAAATACCTTCCTTTGGACCAGTAAAACGTCAGCCACAGATGTTGATATACAGTGAGTGACACAAGGTCCTATACTAAGGGCTAAGAATTCCTGTGTGTCAGTTCAGGTAAACCTGGAGAACCTAATTATGTCAGAACAGCATTCAAAACCACAGGTGGTGCAAAGCTATTTCTGAGAACAGGTATTTTCATTTAACACCTGTCACTGTCGAGGCAGGTATCGTGGCAAATGTTACGTGCTACAGCCTGTTTTTTTCCTGTACAAGTTACCTTTTAGGTCACAGTACAGACAAGAGACAATACAAGGAGAGTTTTCCAAGTTTAAGTTAGGGTGTACCCACTCCTTTCCTGTATGTGCAAACTGCCAACAGCTGAAGCACATGCACTGTTCACACCTCCCTTGAGGGATACCTCTCAAACTTGGGGAAGGCGGAGTGTCATGGCTACAGGGGCATCCTGTTGCCTTCAATGCTGAACTTGATGGCCCGATGCACTTTGCTGAGTCGTTTCTGTTCAGCAAACCGTCTCTTGTGTTTTTCCAAGCGACTAATACCTCTCTTAATAGTCCCGGGCTAGAAACAATATCTCAATTAATGCACAGAAGGAGAGATAACAGCAGAAAGCACAGTAATTATTACTTCTTCCATTTACATGTGTTCTACCACGCACTCCGCTTTTAAATTAAACTGTACGTGGTAGATGGATGAACCAAATAAGGCAAGGCAAAGGCCTCTACTGAAGCTGTTAATGTTTACCAAAACCTCAAAGTTTTCCCAAACTGGAATATTATCAGAAGAACATGATACAAAAGCTGGGAGAGGTATGAAAATATCAGTGACACTCTTATTGAATTGCAGCTTTAGTTCAAAATGCTCTAAAATAAGAGGCCTGTAATCAAATTCTCACCCTAGAGAGAAACTCTAGAATAGTTAATATGGAAATCTCTTTTTGGTTAGAGAAGCAACAATACCTGAGTGAAAGTATCTGATGAGCTTAAAACAGCCCACTTGATAGCAGAACTTACTGTCTGCTCAAATTAGAAGAGGCGCTTGAAAGAACTACCGTTTTGTACAGTAACCACAGCAATAAGGTGAGAGATTCCCAGGCTTAATCAGAGACAGCTTAGGTACAGAGTCACTAGGAGAGGCTAAGCTATCCCCACACCGCAGTGCTTACCCTGGAGGACTCCATCTCCACATTCCACTTTGGCCTGACCACATAGTCCTTGTTGGAGGGCATTGGCACCCTCGCACGGGCACAGAACCCGGGGTCTCCGGGTCTAAGAGCCCTGCAGAAAAAAAGATGTGACTGTTAGAGACAAATCTTACACAGAAAGAAGTACAAGCAATATAGCGTGTTACACCTCTGAAACACGCTGCATAACCATTGCCTCTAAAACCTCAAAACAAATTGCATATTGTCAGTACCACCGAAATACTTTTTTCTAATCAAAAATTAAAAAAAAAAATCCAACCTACTTTTCCTCTCCAGTTAACACTTTCTCCAGGTCCCTGCGGGGAGTCTGACCACCAGAGCTGCAAGAAGAATAAAATTTTATATAGGCATTTATACACAGAGAAAGATAGTAATTTTAAAAGACAGTCAAGTGTGGTAAAAGAAAAGAGAGAGGTCATAACTTACTATCCTTTTATTTCCCTTAATATTTACACACCACTTTTTCTTGATGGAGTCTTAGAAAGAAGGATTTCATGTTTCTGCCTGCTACTCCTACCTGCTCAGTCTCCTTCGCTGAGGCATCTGTTCCAAATCTCTCTGTTCCCTCTCTTCTCTTGTCATGCCCTTGTAGTTTGAGGTAAGGCCAAAGATGGGTCGAGACCATTCATCTATTAAAAAAATAATAAAATTGGTTAACAAATGCTAGGCCTTTGAAATTTATCTCCAAACCACTGTGGTGACCAAATACAGCTTTCAAAGTTTATGGCAAGTATTTACACTTTCTTTCAACCAAACAAATGGTTTTTGAGCCCTTAATATTTCAGGGAAACCCAGCCTTGTGGACAGTAAGAAAGAGCTTTCACCCATGGAGTCTCTTGCTGTTGCCTGCTCTTTTAGAATCTCTCTGAGCTCTTAGAATACTTAGTGTCAGGAACTCCTGCATGCCACAGTGAATGCTATTTTAGAAATATGCAAAATAGTTCCTAAAAAACATAAGTTTATGATCAGTTCGCAGTTATACAGGATGGAACGCACTACACATGGACTACAGCTGTTTAAGAAGTAAACTTTCAGTCATCCAAGATCTCTCTGAAGCCCATGGAATAAACAGTCTTCTGGCAGTACCTTCCTGCCTTTGTAGTACGTGAGATCTAGATAACTAGCCAAGAGAGAATCTGGGCAAAATAAATGCCATCCTCCGGTTTAGAACAAGAATGAAAGAGGAAGAGGTGCATGCAGAAGTTAATGTAACAGCGTTTGTTAAGAGCTCTAGAAACAAAGCAATGAAACAGATTAGTTGAGATTCCTACATTGCAGAATTAATTCTACTACAGACGATAGCAAAAAACATGCAACAGAAAGACTGATGCAGAAATTAAATTATCAGTGAAATCTCACTGATACAAGGCAAAGGGAGGTTTACATACTGATTAGCTTCCCTGCCATATCCTTGTTAGGTCTCGACTCTTTGGGGTGTTTGTAGAGGTACATCACAGCTCGTCCAATGCCACTGTGCTTCAGGGTCTCTTGGCTCACACTGGGCAGCTGCAGGGTAAAGGAAAAGTCAGAAAATAGCAAGAAATTATGTCTGAACATTAATGGTGTCATTGAACTTTGCAAAAAGACCAAAATCCACCTTCAGAATAAGCTTGAGAAAAATTAGCATTTTTCATTGTCTCACTAGGAATTGGTTAAAGTATCAAACACCAAAACCCAGAAATTAGCCTTAACATTTTGGTTCTTATACACAAAATTAAGTAAGTTTCCAGAACTATTTACTCCAAATGGTCTTTTGCGTATATTACCCAAGAATTGAGTTACTGCCTTCAAAGCATTCGTTTTATAAAGATAAAAACTTACGTGGCAAAAGCATTCAAGTAATCAGCTTAGCTACAAACGCTAAAAGTCTACACTGGGTATGACAGGCTTTCTAGTGCACTGCACACTTTAATAGACCAGAAAAGAGAAGGGACCGTGAGAGAGGAAAAACTCAGGGATACATAGCAAATGACTCTTCATTAAACTTTGTGCATAAACCTGAAACAGGCAGGCAGGGCCAAATAACTTAAATTCAGGCAGAACTCTTGCAAATTCTTAGCAAGGAGAAATATTTCTAGAGCTTCAGTCAAATAAAACCAGCTAGTGGTGCTGCAAGAAAAATTTCACTTCTACTTCACTATCAAGACTATGCCACGCTTATTTTTTGAATGCAGCAAAGACAAATTAAAGTGACCAATCACAACGTATGAGCCACTGAGAACGAGGGAAGATAAGTGACTAAGCAGTTGAGATTTATCAAGAATCTAGAAATGCCATAGCACGTAACTCCCTGAGAGAGGGTAGAGAACTTCATGCCTGTAGTTCACGTGAGACTCTCAGAAATGTCTTGTGGCCTGCTGCTAGCAGAGCTCTTCACTTTGTTTTGAACATGGGCAAAATATTCATAACAACAATTACGTGCCTGAAGTTCCCTAGCCAAATTTTGTTCAGCTAGACAGCATGTCTACAACGTAAGACTCATTAAAATGATGCGACTTTTAAACAAACACATCTATTTTGCAGTTTGCTTCCTTGTGTATTTCACTGCACAGTCCATTGGTAGCAGCTGCAGTACATTTATCACCAAACATTTCCCTAAAGCACATGACTGTAAAACCATGGAGAAGCCACGAATCAAATATGGTTGAAAGTCAGCTTCAAACCTCTTGCAGGATCTTCAGAAGCTCCTCTCGTATCTTTAGTGCTGGCAGACTTCGGTCTGGAAGAGGAGAAAGCCACTCTTTGATGGCAGACATAACACCACTATCGATGAAAGTTTCTTTGAGGTCCTGCCTAGAAATTTTAAAGTAAAGAGAAGCCACAAAGTCATATGATACATCAAAATCTTAAGATGTGATGTTCCTTCAGCACAATAGTGCATATGAGTTTGTTTCCTGTTAAATTAACAAGTAAAATTACATAGAATTTTAGGTTTTTGAGGCCACCTAGCTCCAGCATTTACTTGGAAGAAAAAACAGTGTTTCACTGCATACTCAGTGCAACTGTAATGTCACTCCATGAAATCTACCAAATTCCCAATATTCCCCAAGATGATAATTAACTGGGAGAATGACAACTTACTTTTTAAGATGCATAACTACAGTTGGTAGCAAAGTTAATTTCTTTAGTGCTGGTTTCTTTTGTGTATTCAGCTGTCGATCCTCCTGTAGGGAGTTGAAGAATCAGTGCAAGTTAATCAAAAGAAGAATCAGCAACTCTCATCCTTTACATTTGGAGGAAAGAGATGAGTCTATTAAATGAGAAGTGCAACTTTGGCAGGATCACACTAACTTTGTACCCTGCTCCATCTTTCTAGAGCCCCAAAATGCATTATATGATGACTTCTCTTAAAAAAAGGTCCCCACCTTAGTCAATTTTCCTTAAAAGCATCACATTAGGAGATCCCCCCTAAAATTACATTTTTTTCTACTTCATGATTTAGGTTGATTGCAATAAACTGGAGGTATCCAGAGTCCTCCATGCTAGCTATGCACACATAACCTAGAAACTTTGTTAGTAAAATCTCACCTGAACAACAGAAAAATAGCTAACCAAAACAACAGGAAGTGAGAAAATGTGTATTCACTTCAGCTAAGAATGTAACTGGTAACCTAGAAGTTCAGGATGAAGCATGGTGCAAGTAACACAAGAGCACACAAATGTGCATCACGTGCTAAAACAAAGTCTGGGTTTCAAAGTGACTATCATCCAAGGCCATAATGTCACTATCTGTTCAGTACTTGGGCTCCCATACCAAAAAGACCCATTACAATCAACAGATTTATGTCCTGCTGTGGTAATTCCTTTCACTCATCTTAATCCACTGAAGGCTATTTCTGCACAATGTTTTTTTTATTGCAAGGGAGGAGATTGTTCTAATGCCCTTCTTCCCCTCTTCATGCCCCAGAACGGTTTGACAGGCACATGCTAGAGAAGCAAAGACACCACAATACTGGAGCTCAGCTCTTCCTTCTCTCCAGCATTTCAAACTTTATGGCTTAATTTGAAACATTTGGCTATCATCTTGCCCAAGAAAGACTTTCTTATCAAGACCAAGAAAGTCTAATTTGTCTCCCAGATCACTATCTCACTCTCCCCTTCCTCCCCAAACACATTAACCTTCTTATCTTATTCTCAGAAAGATTCCTTTTTGTTGTTATTTGTAAGATTCCTCTTTCTAAAGGTCTGTATATTCCCCCCAATCAGTTTTAATGAGTTTCGCAGTGCTGTTCGTTAATTTGATTGCTACTCCAACAAAATGACAACTACAACAAAAGATACCCGACAAAAGGCAAGACCCCAATAAACCTTGCACAGTAACATATTAAACGTGACTCCTTGAAAAAGGCACTCTGCCAAGGCAGAACTTCCCATAATTCTGTTGCTCTACCATCATTTACCACAGCACTGTCATTCAAACAGCTTAGAAAAGGGTTCTTCTCAGGAACAAATACCGAAGTACTACACATGCTAGTAATTGTATAAGGAAATTAAAACATAGTCCCTTTCTCAGTGTTTGATATACTTATTCATGTAGTTTATAGAACACGTATACATCCCTTTTTATAGGACAGTTGATCTCAGCTGATCAAAGTTTAGCAAGTTAACTACTTTTAATCTTTAAAATTAATAAATACTTCCGCCAAATTTCAACAGAAGAAATGTTTTAATTCAGAATAGCAAAATAACATTTAAACTGTTATTTAGATATTGGAGGCTTTCTGTAGCGTACAGATTACTCCTCCTGAGTACCAACCAGATTTCTGTGTTTTACTGATCACAAGATGTTCTCATAGAATGGAACTGGATTTTAAGGTGTCTTTGGAGCCTAGAACACTCACCTCAGCAGCTTCATTCATCTTCACAATCATAGCACTGACCACATCATCTGCATCACTAATAAAAGTTCCACCATCACGGTTTCGTCTACGCTTGCCACTCATACTCTTCTTTCGTTGCAGCATCATGTCAAAATCTGACATGAAGTCCATACTGAAATGCAAGAAGAGAGTTTGCTGATGGTCAGAAGAGGATTGGATCTTACTGTCTTTGTAGGAAGTAATTTTGTATTTCTGTAGCGTAACCTTTCAAAAATTCTCCAATAAATCTACAAGCATTATGTCTCAATGTCCCTGTAAGATAATTAGTTATCTTCAGTATACAAACCGGGAAACTAGCAAAGGGCATCAATGGCTCTGAGATGCCCTCAGAAGTCTGCAAGACCTTGCTGAAATAGCTAACAACATGCACACATGTAATACCCAGGGTTGTAAAAATGTAAAATGTGCTAAAGCCGTCACTGAAGCTGACAAAGATTTAGCTTTCCTGTACCTGCAATACACTGCTCTGACGCTACTGGAGCAGATAGAAAGGAAACGAGAGACATGCCAATGGCAAATCTTGCCATACCTTATCCCTTACACCAGCAGAGAAACATACCTGTGACTCCAATGCTGAACTGCTAAAAGCAGAGTTAGATGCTTGTTTGATTAGACACTAATTTCACTCAGATTTTGATGCAAACCGGGAAATAGTGTTCTCTGAAGCAGCAGCATAGGTTATCCGCTATGGGCTGCCAAGTGACTAAACTGTACAAGCTGAGAGGACCTTCTGTCGTAGTTCATGAGAACACACTTTCTGTAGAAACAGTCCCGTGCCTTTCTAAACTAAGAAGTCTAGCCAGTCTTTGGAAGAGCCCTAAAATATTGCATTTGCTATTAACAAAGGAGTACGTAACACACTGACTTACTGCTTCCCTCTTTTGATGTTATCATCAGAGTCCGATTCATCTGCCGTCTCCTTCATGTCTGCATCACCTTTCTCTTCCTCCAAATCTTCCTGGTTAAAACCCTGATGGGTAAAGACAGTGCAAATCAGTGTATGGCTTAAGATTGAGCATCTACTCAGGCACCTGACACTGATACTTGAAAAGCTTCAGGTAAGTCTGCAGAGGATCTAGAAGAAAGAGGAACAAAGGCTGCCTAATTCCACCTGTGACTTTCACACCAATAACTCTCCCAACAGAAGAGCTATAAATGTCATTTAACCCAAAGACCACCTCAGTGAGTTCAGCAGATACAAAGCTTCCCTCCTGATACAGCACATCCTTGAACATGAGTCCAAACCCTAAAAGTCATTCTGGAGTACCTTCCTGTGAAGATTAGATCTAGCAAGCGAACAAGAGACATCCACAATAACACTTACTGTAAATTCCTCTTCTTCCTCATCACCAGATTCTCCAAATATATCTGCAATCAGGTTCCTGTGAAGGTAACAGTAACATTTATCTATTTAGACTGCAACAATGAGAAGTGCGTTTTCTGCAAAATTTCTAATGACTGTGTGGAGATCCACCTTTCCTTCTGCCACCTACTACTGACCTTCCTCTTCACACCACCAATGAAGGTGGACAATCATTCTCTGGCTGGGATTCATCCATTCTCGATTCACGATCAGTCTCACTATCTGCAACCCTGAAGGAATTCATATTCCCAGAAGCACTTACTCTTGTTCATTTCCAGATTCACTGTCACTGCCAAACAGGTCTTTCTCTTCTTTTTTCTTCCCAACATTCTCTTTTCTTTCTTCTTCTTCTTCCTCACTATCCGATACAATATTTTTCTTCCTTTTGTCAGATTTCTCTGAAGTAGCATCGCTATCTGATTCTTCGACATCAGAAAGGATTCGTACTTTTTTTGCAGCTGCCAACAGAAAGGAGCATTACTACACGTCCTAGTAACAGAGGCGACAACTGGTACTTTCAAAAAAAATACTCTCCCAAGTACAATTTGGACAAGAGGGAAGCTGACTAGCCTTCCTACACAAGATCATTGCCATTTCTTAAAAAACACATCCATTCTAAAATCTGTTTTATTCAATCAGTAACTGAAGTTTCCATACACCACATCTATCCGTAAAAACTTGTAATTTCAAAACCGACTCTCACCCCCAGTATATGGGGGGGGGGGGGGCCGCCCCCCCCCCCCGGGGAGGGGGGGGGGGGGGGGGGGGGAACGAGAAAAAAAAGACTAGAGAAATAACAACAAAGTAGAGAAATGACTAACAGGAATAATCAACACAGTATAAAGCAAGATCACTGCAGTCTTCTCTTTTACTTCTATTAGACCTACTTATTACTCAAAACTATTAGATATACATTCACACAGAAATGCAGTTAGAACAATAGCTTCTACAAATGCAGTTGTACTCTAAAAACAATTTGCTTTATGGTTTCATATTTATCTTAGATGCTTTCTTCAAATAAAAACAATGATTTAACACTACTGCTTGTCACACCACATTTTTGTTTTCACACTACAGTTCCTTACGTGTGTTCTCATTGTCATCCTCACTGTCAGAAAGGATGGCTGTTTTCCTCTTCACTGTCTTCTCTTCCTCTTTCTCTTCTTCATCACTATCCGATATTTTTCGTCTCTTAGGAGCTTCCTCTTCACTGTCAGAGCCTTGAAATCTTTCCCTTACATGTTCATTATCTGAATGGTGAGAGTCATTCTGCACCTCCTCCTTCCTGTCCTCCCCATCACTATCCTCAGACTCTATTTCTTGTTTGTGTCTGGAAACATCCTCACTCTCTGAGTCGCTAGCCGGCTGTTTGCGGAGTTCCTCACTCTCCGAGTCGCTGGCCGGCTGCTTGTGGAGCTCCTCGCTCTCTGAGTCACTGGCTGGCTGCTTGTGGAGCTCCTCGCTCTCTGAGTCACTGGCCGGCTGCTTGTGTGTTTCCTCATTTTCAAAATCACTACTGTGATCCCTGTGAGGTTCTCCATTTTCAGAGTCACTTGCTCGATGATTTAAGGCATCTTCATTTTCAGAGTCACTTAAATGCTGATTTGGACGGTCCTCAGTATCAGAATCACTGTCTTTCCCTCCATGAGCTGCTTCATTGTCTGAATCACTTACACTGTGATTTGGAGGATCCTCATTATCTGAGTCACTGTCTTTTTGCCTTGGGATATCTTCATTTTCAGAGTCTGTCATATGAGGCTCTCCCATTTGCCCATCATCATCTCCATCACTGTGTTCATTCTGAAAGAGAAAAATAATCTCAGGCAACTAAGCAAAAAAAACTTAAAAAGTCAACAAAAAATGTTCTGAATTTTTGCTTGTCCTTCCTCCAATTTGATTACCCAAGGTACTGCAAACTGAAATACTTTCTATACAGAAATAAGTATTAGACAATTTGCATCAAAGGAATATCAAATACTTCAGATCAAGAAAAATATTAAGAGATCAATGGAACTCTGTGCACCCTGCAGCTCAATCATATTTTGGAAATGGTAACAGAATTTAAAACACGCTCAAATAAACATGTCTAAGAAGGGTCCAGTTCCTTGAAGGTAAATGCTTAATGCTTTTATTTTAAAAAGTCAGGCCTTCGAAGTGGTTTAGTCCAAATCCCCAGTAATAAGGCAAGAAACAGTATCTCACACTTGTCATTTTCTTTTTCTTAAGATCTCAAACAGATGTTTTTTGTATGAAATACATTTTACTGAAACTGCACATGCATTACTTTCCAAGCGAAGCTCACGAGAGCTTGTGCCCTTTCCTTCTTTGCCAAGGAAACTTATTTAAGAACATGTCAAGACCAAAAGCCTACCAAAAACAGCAATAAAGTTTTAGTCAGACCTTTCAGAGTATTACTGTTAACAAGTTTTGTGTTTCAATGTGTAAGAATGTAAGAACAGATTCAACGCTTCTCTCCCTTAAGCTGATAGCTCCCACGCCTATCCAGACATCTGACATAACCTATGTACAAATACACCGATCTTCTTAAAACTTTAGAATTGAAACACAATCTTTTATGTCTTTTTCTACAAGACAAGAAAGACTGAGCCACATGCTCCATTTTTGGAAAAACCTTTCATAAGCCACCTGTCAATATCATTACTGACAACATCTTGTTTTATCTTTCCTACACCATCTAGTTTCTTCTTGGGAAAAAAAAAATCTCAATTGCATTTACCTGAGAAAACAAAACTAGACTCTTGAACGCTCATTTCATTAACTCAGTACACCTCTCAGTCACTGTCACAATAATCCCATTTTCAACTGAAAAGAACAATACTGTAAAAAGAACTTCTTTGCTACATACTCAACTCCACTTTTCAGCCAGGCTTTTCTCAGGGGTGATTTTGTCTCAGCTATAGACTCCTTCCACTAGCATATCTGCAAACCATTTATTGTCCTAGGAGGTACTTTAAGACCTGTATGTCCCGGAGCTTCCAAATCTTTTTTGTCAGCAATTTAATTTCCTTGGAAAGACAAACTTTCTATCCATTTTTATTTTCTATAGTCATTCTACTCCCACATTCAGAGCCATACAAAATAATGAAGGTGTATCTATCCTACACCTACAACAAACAATACTATTAATCTTTAAAAGTATGATTAAGAAGGAATTTTAAATAACATTAATTTTAATTGCTTTCAGGAACTACTCCCTCCAAAATTATACTAAGTGGTAAATAACATTGCTTTTAAGATTTTGGACCTTACACATTTATTCCCTTGGCTAGCACTCGATTAAATAACAACTTCTAAATTACTGCAGAATCACTAACAGAAAGTTACTGCACAATGGAAAAAAATCAGGATTATATCATTTTAAAACATGCACTTCAAATACAACTTCACTATTTCCATGTTACTTAATGCTAGCTACAAAACAGCTGCTGTGACAATCTGAGTGAGTAGTCTTCTCTCTGCTGCTTGTCCCTGTCTCTACAGCGATGCTAGTCTTTTCAATCATCCTAGTGGCATTATTCAGTATTTCTCATTTCTCCTTACAGAAAGGAAACATGGTTCTGTTAAAACCTGAATTTGGAATTTTAAAGAATTAAATATGAAGATTAAGAAGTTACAGAACTGAGGATGCACAGCTGAGGAAGACCATACACACACTCAACTGCTCTCAGCTTGTTATGGGATTTTATTCTTTTTTTTTCTTACAAAAAAAAATTAATTCAATTGCCCTCTCCTGTGCAGTATCTCCCACATAAACTAACAACATGTGTATGTGATGTATTTTCTCTGACTGTATTATTTTAAGATTAAAGAAAACTGCTGCTGCAAATGTAACAGGAAACAGGTTTTACATCAGTGTTACAGGTAAGGTCATTGAGAAGTACTGAAATGCAGAGGTCTACACTGAAATTGATGTTTGTAATAGTAGAAATTCTTTAAGCCTTATTTTCCTACCTAATAATTTTTCGTGGGTTTGTCTGTCCTCTCTTGATTTCATATGGCTAATGCTGAATAGATACTGATAATTATGTCAGCACTAATAAGGGATTTTGCTAAACAAAACCAAGGAAAACAATACAAATACTCCTGTTCAAACTAATAGGCTCATCACCTTCCAGACTGCCAGTCCAGAAAGTCTTTGGTGAACAACTAATGGTATCCATAATGATTCTTAAACACTTCTAAGGTCAGAAGTGTGGCTGCAGGTTATATATGCACCTCTTCAGAACACATTACTAAATTACAAGGAACTTCCTACGCAAAATACCCGGTAAGAAGTCATTACAATTATACAGCATTATTACTGAAGCACTTTACAATATATTGAATCTATAATCTGTTACTGCAAACTGACAATCACTCTTGAGAACGATGATGTTTGGGGAGGGAGAGCAGACATGCATCCTAATTAGCTCACACTGTGATTATACAGTGCTCTGCACCACAGAATCCCAGTGGTTATAGCAGCTGAACTCTACTGTGATACAATCACCTACAGAAGAACCACTTAGATAATACAGGTGCTCCTACACAGATTGGGCAGACAGGCACCATCTACTCTAGTCCTGAGTTTGGAAAGCTCAACCAGAGCTAACCCAGAAAAGCACACCGTTATATTAGTCAAGTCAGTAATCCCAGCAGAGAGATGACACACACTACCTCAGACTCAGCACATTAACATAACTGAGCATCTTCTAAAGCAGAGCTGAGACAGAGCTGACTCGCTCACAGCCTACACAGAACAGACGGGCCCTGTCCATAGCCATCAGTGCAAAGGTCTTCTGAATACAACTAATGAATCTGTGAATGTTTTGGAATATACTTGATATAAAAAGTGCATACAACTTTAGAGTAAGATGACTAAATTCTGCAGGATAGTCTCCCCTTCCCCCCTCCCCCCCCCCTTTTTTTTTACTAGTTCGTCTCTAAAAAGATGTTTTCAAAGAAATCAAGTATATAACTTTGGAGTTTTCTATTTTTCCTTTTCCAAATACTTAATTAAAATAAAAGATCAGACATCCTCAAAAACAAGTAGGTCTCAGGTAATTGCTACTGCATTTTTCTCTAATTCCTTTGCTTTCTTTTCTTCCTCCTCTTTATCTATAAACATTTTAATTGAGATGTCCTTAATTTTTTTTAACTGGAAGAATTCTATAACATGAGGCTTTAGTACAGTATAAAATAAGGAATACATCAAAATCAAATTTACAGTGTTATCCTTCTACATAAAAATTTCAGTTAGCAAGTAGTTTATTGGATCAACATGCAGCCACTTTTAAGGGGTACTACTTTGATAATTTAGTAAGTTCAACAAAATTGACCCATCCACTACAATCTCATGAATGACAACTGTTAAACTAAGGCATACATAACCATCGTAGTCAGATCAGCAAGTTTATCTTTTTTCAGAAATGTAAGATATTTGTATATGTTTGTTAACAGTCACAGTCAAACCATAACTTAATTCATGAAGACAGCAGCGACTTGGTGAAAGTGTAAGAATCTAAGTCATTAAAGATTTCCATATGAGCCTGACTTGTACAAACACTGTAAACATGATTTCATATTCATTACTGTACTAAAACTATGTGTTATCTAATTCTATTTGTGTAAAGCAGAATTGGTAAGGACATCAAGGAGAACATTTATAGATAAAGTGGGATTGGGGGAAGGAAAGCCAGAAAAGAATTGTGGAAAAGAAAAACCCACATACCTGAGACCTACATAAGTAATTCCTCAGGATTCCCCTTTTCTTTAAAGTTAAGAACCTGAAAAAAAAGTTTGAAAGTTTAAAACTTCAGTTCTTTACATCTGAGTTCTAAATTAGAGACGAAATAGTAATTAAATAGACTTAACTGATTAGGCTGTCTCAAAGGTTTTATTACCTTTGAGTGTCATTCCTCCCACATATTCCTAAAGATGAAGGAAATAAGAGGATGAGAGAATATTTAGGGTAAATAATATGATAAATCACTGAAAGTTATTCCTTTCAGAGACAGCTGCTCCACACTACTGCATTTTGAATTTGATATAGGGAAGACTAAGAATGTAAGACTTCATAACAAAACAAAACACTCAAATGTTTACGATTTGAACTAAATCAAATAAAGCACTAAGGCTTGAAGGTTCACATTCACTATTGGACAGAAAGGTGTTTTAGTTCTTTTTTTGGGGAGGAGGGGTTTTTTTTAATGGACTTTCTGAAGTATTTTATCTACAGAGGAATATTCAACAGCCATCACAGAACAAAGCCCTTAATGCAGCCACACGAAGAGGATCAGTTAACAATGATAATAGGTCCTACTACCTTCTGGTTATTTAAATCTGAAAAAGACATGCTGAAGATGTAAGTAATAATCAACTACCTGTTGTTTAGGCCAGATTTCCAACTACTTTGCCACAGTAAGTAAAATTAAAATCCCACCGGAGTACAGAAGGGTAAGAACAAATGACCAAGTTTTCATACACAGCAGAAAAAGCTTAATATTATTGTAGCAGCAACATGACTCTCCATACACTCATCACCATTTTTTTTTTTCATTAAAACAGAAGTACTAAATCCCTTTGAAAGACAGTTATTTCTCCCATGCTGAAAAACATATTTTCTCCCACACTGAAATCCTGATTTTCACAATAAGAGATGCTGCCTCACACCAAATCAATTTCTTCCATTGTAAATATCAACACCTTTTAAAAAAAATAAATTCCAAATCTGCTTTACACTTAAATTCAAATACATGGGAAAAACTTTCACTTTATACAAATATAAAATCTTCATCTACTTTCTAACTCTGAGGGAAGTATGAATTCAATAAAGGGGTGGAGGAGGAAAAAAAAAAAAAAAAAAGGATTGCAAGTTATACCACAGCAGTTGAGCCTTTTGACACATCAGCCTGCTACAGTATACCACATCATGCATTTTAAGTGACGCGCGGAAATGTAACTTCACAACTCTCAGATAGAATTGTAAAGCAGGTATGTTTATTCAGCGCTGGGGGAACATGGGGAGTCGTCTCCTAAGCCATGCCCCCCCATTATCGTTCTTTGGAGACCTTTTATAACCAGCACGTTCACCCGTCATATGGTGGGTCTCCCACATGTCTGGTTATCACTCGCCATGGGGTGGGCCTCCAGCACATTTTGTTATCACTCGCCATAGGGGGGGGTCTCCAGTACATTTTGTTATCACTCGCCATAGGGGGGGTCTCCAGTACATTTTGTTATCACTTGGTGTGTTTACAGACATTTCACTAGGCACCATTTTATACAATACTGTCAAAAGTCATTTAAGCAATGTTAGCAAGAGCAATCTATTTTATCAAAAGCCATTTAAGCAATGTTAAGCCATTTAAGCAATGTTTGCAAGAGCAATCTTTGTGAATGTATCTGGTTCTTCCTTGCTTCATTAAGCTATTTTTAAAAGGTATAACCACTAAAAAACCAGTCAGATTGAATCCTGATCTTTACATAAAATGCAACAAAATACGCAGAACAGAATGAAATGGCTTTGATTACAGTTTTTATGAGTATTAAAAAGTTCTCTATAACGTAACTTTGCTGGCAGAATACATGAGTTCACAGGCCAAAATTATTCCTTCCTAGTAAGACCTGATGTAATTCTATTTCAAGTCACAAAAAATTCCTAAAAATTAAGATTAACTCCAAAACTGTCCTGGAAACCTAAAAGGAACCTTCACTTTTACCAGAATCTCTTTTCAACCAAAATAGTCAATCCACAAGTTAAGTGACTCTCCCCCACATACAACCCTGGATCAAAGAATTACCACCCTTTTCATGGTGTAGGCTTCTCGAAGCAAGAAACTCTTCAGAGGAAGACCAGATCCCATTTAGGAATCTTAACCTGCTCCTGCTCCACATGGAGACCTGCTCCTTTGTGAGTGACAAAGTGAAAAACATAGCACAAAATAGACTTGAGAGTCAACACTCACATCTGAGAGGAAAGATGGAAGATGGGAGAGCATTTATTCTTTGGTAAGGAAATCTATGCCTCCATAATGTGTGGTTTTATATTACTGTGCAGAATTTGAGGTAAAATTCCTCATAATCCATTGCTTAGAATTTCAAACCCAAAAAGTTTATCTTGTTGCAATTGAGTATAACAATATTAAACTTTTCCTAGTACAAAACAGTGAATGCTATTATAAGAATTAAGAAGGAAAATAAAAAAGACCCTCTCCTACGTATTCGTCAAGAGATTATCTGACACAATTCTTTCTGGAAGTAGTTTTGCCAGATGGGACCCTTAAGAACAACTGAATAAACACATAAGTCTCAGTTAAGAGAAAATGCCTCTTAAAAAAAGAAGAAAAAAATCAGTTTATAGAAGAGTAATCTTTATCTAGATAAAAGTTCCAGTAGTACCTCTGAATGGTGCCCTACACTTCCATTCTCAGATCCAGAATGCTGCTCATTTCCTTCATCTTCAACATCAGATCCTGAATCTCGTTCGTCTTGCACTGGAGTAGCTCCACCATCATCTGCTCCAAAGTTAAGTAAAGAAAAGGAAAGCTCAGTGAGATTTCCCAGTGTTTAAAAGAGCATTGACAGTGATGATGAACAGGGAGCCAGGTAGCACTACAGACTCTCGTTCTAACAGTGCACTACTACAGAAAAACAGAGGGGGTATCTATTGGAAAGGTTTGGAGCAAAACCACCACGGATACCCCCTCAGAGATCGCAAAACTACTTATAACATGCACGCAAGCAGTGACTGATACACTAATCGAAACACCGAACTAATAATAAGGCGGCCGCTGTGCTGCGATCACG